GGGGGAGGTGAGGGGGGGGGTGGAGGGAAGAGAAAAAAATGAAATTCCTATTCAGCAGGCAATATTTAGGAGAAAAAAATTTTAACCTAGCTTGCTTGTTCAACCTGTTCCTAAGAATGAACCAATCCTTGTAATTATTCAAGGATTTCAGCTGAAGTTCAGATTTGGATCCAAATTTCTTAATCGAAGTTGCAAATACCACGTGCCAAGTTCTCAATCACTAGGCCTCGTCTTCAGTAAATAAAGCTGCTACCATGCTAGGCTGCATGAATGTTACTGAAAATAACTTCATTCAGGATATTTATTGCTGGTGAGATTCAGAGAAAGATACACTTCAGGGAATTCTTCCTTAACAGCATTAAAAGCAATTAATGTAACTGACGGCAAAACTACATAAGCTATTTAACACAAATTCAACCAATCCATGGGTATGCTTATAATATCCTTGCAAAAATAATCCTTTATGGACTAAATTAACAAAACTACAGGGGAACAGCTGTTGTAAGCAGCACATAAACTTGCATTTTAGTACCTACAAAGGTTGTTACAAGATCATTTCTTAAACAATCCACATAGTCTTTAGCAGTTTGGGTCAGCTGTTCTGCTTGTCCATCATTAGCCTTTCAAGCATCTTCAGGAATAATATTAAGAATTCTGAAGACTCAAAGATTTGGTGTCTCACACATATTCCACAAGCACTCACTATTAATTGGAAAAAGTAGCAATTCATTTAACACGACAGAAGTTATTCTTTTCAGAGGAGAAACTTACTTGTACTAATTCACTTAGCATATCTACGTTCCTAAAGATAGTAAACCAGAAGTCTGGAATTCCTTTGACATTTGTCTCTTCTGCTTCCGCTTTTTCTTCTATTACCACTACATTTTTCAGGTCTCCCTGTGAAACAAATATAGAAACATTTAAGAAATGAAATCTCGACTTCTTAATATATTTAATAAACAGACGTAGAAGCTGTGTTTAAGGAACATTTAAAATTTATGCGTTTTTCCTCTGTAAATGAAGTTAAGAGACACAAGGTTTATTTACTAAACATATACACAGTTAATTCAGATTTACTTTCAACTCGTTTGGAATTCTTCCGTACAAAGACTAAATAGACCAAGTGACAGTTTCACTGACTTGACAAACAGAAATAATTGAAACACATTTCTGTCTTTCTACAAACAGAAAAAATATAAATACATTTCTATTTTTCTATTAATCTCATTCCTGTAGCTTCATGTGCCATTTACAGTGTTTCATCCAAAAATTTAAAATTTAAACTTTGCCCTTTGAAATACTGTTTTAGCTTCCCAATTTTGCAGAATAATTGTAAAGTTGGTTTTCATGGTTATTTTTCATTATTACAGTCTTCAATTATTAATCTTTTGTGATACAGGATTCCCACCCTACACATAACTGATGTCAAATGTTATAAAAAAGAAGAATGACTAAGTCACCTCTCCATCCCCAAAAAACAGGAAATTTGCAGTCTGAATTAGTTGTATTGCACCGTTCCTCTTACACCACTAGATAGCAGCAAATACATAAGATCTTCCGAACAGCAGCTACTTGGGTTATGACTAGCCAAGAATATGAAGCAGCAGTTTACTTGCCATCTAGACATGTCCCTGATCTAAAAGAAGAATGACTAAGTCACCTCTCCATCCCCAAAAAACAGGAAATTTGCAGTCTGAATTAGTTGTATTGCACCGTTCCTCTTACACCACTAGATAGCAGCAAATACATAAGATCTTCCGAACAGCAGCTACTTGGGTTATGACTAGCCAAGAATATGAAGCAGCAGTTTACTTGCCATCTAGACATGTCCCTGATCTTATAATTGCACGGAATATGGCCTGTCAATGCTGTATTTACACAAAGCCTAACAAACCTTTTTTGCTTATGCACATGGAGTACTGTGTCACACTAAATCCCATAATTTGCTTTGTATACAGAACAGTGTCCAAAGGAAACTGAAGGAAAATGGGCCAAGGAAAAAATGCAAAGAAAACCTGACAGAATGTCAAACACAGCATTGTAAGTAGGTCACTTCTCTGAGAAAAAGAAGCAAGGCATGACTACACATCTCCAAAAATGATGACAGGAGAGTAAAAGGCAGCCTACAGATTATATTATCCCTCCTAAATCTAGATAGCTCCTACTCAATAGACAAGTAGGAATCCACTAGCCAGCACACATTTTATTAGGTCAATTCTGTATTACGACTAGGTGACGTGTATCTAATCTGTATTTATGGAAATGAAAGATAATTATGTCCCCCAAAATAAAGGGGACAGGCAGACAAACAGCCAGCCTTCTGTTATCTTGGGGTATCATGTAGCACTGGAATGGAACCCATTATCAGAAAGATACTGTTAACAGGTTACGAACAGTGCAAACAAAGGCAACTTTTCAATTCACTCAAGTTACACACTTGAAAAAAGGCTAAACTAGAAGTTTAAAAGCTTTCACTGGACATAACAGCGATTCATCGTAAGAGCACACTACTGATAAAACCTTTATTTCCAAAAGAGTCTTTCAACGGAAAACGCTGTACAGGAATTAATTCTGACAATCCAATATATCTGTAGTTTATAAACCAGCTTGTACTCACAGCCAGTTTTTCTTCATCCTCATTTTCACTGTGCCATTCTGACTCTGCATCTGTGGGTTCAGCTTCCCCATTAATAAATTCTCTTCTCTGTGTTAGAAAAATCAAGAACATTAATTGAAGATGGAAAATTACATATATGCAAACAGAACGGACTCAACTAGAAGGAGACAAAGATTATATACACAGTCTTCCCACCTTATCAAAAAGGGGTTGATAGAGTGCTGCATATTTTCTCTCTAAATCATGTACTTCTTCATAGAATTTAGCTTCTATATGGGCGCATTTCACCTGGAGCTGTTTCAAGGCATCAATTCTTCTTTTCACTGCTTTTGGTAAACTAAAAAACAAATAATTCTTTAAGGTTAAAAGTTAGTTGCCTCAGTATTATTTAGCATATCACTGTGAAATAGGCTGCTTATAACTAAAAGCCTTTTATTTACAAATTGCATACGTCAAACATAGGTATTTCTTCAAAACCTGTTTCAAAAAGTTGAAAGAATCCTCTCCTACCCAAGTTCTTCTCAAAAGTGTTATCTTCTGTTCCATTCCCTGAGGCTACCACCCTCCCCGTGTAGTTCAGAGATCTGAAATTAGTACCTTTGTTTACACCTAAACTTTGAGACTAGAGTTGTGCTGATCCATCTATGAAAAACAAGAACCGTGCATTCTACAGGGGAACATTTTGATTCATGGGTCATATTCAGAAAAGTACACATTGCCCATATGTACTTTAAATTATTAACCATTTATATATAGTCAGGTAAAAAGAACTTTTTATAGCATTTTTTTTTTTTAAAAAAAGAGGTCTACCAGCTATTCCCAGTCAAGAAATAAAAGCACAAATATCTACTAAAGACAAAATTTTAAAGTTTAAGTCTACTCTACAGTTAATATAAAACTAAGCTTCAAACTAGGGATTTACAAGTCCTGAACTTTCCTGGACAGCAATTTTATAGAAATCATCAATCAATGCAGCGCACACGCTGACAGAATAAGGGTCACAGAAGGAAACAAAAGGAAAAGGGCGGAGGAGAGTTTTCTAACCAAAGTAATAATAGCTAAGGAAAATACTGAACTGGACAAAATTTTGTTTGCAATTTTGTGTAAGTAAACTAAAACTTGACTCTTCCTTCCAGAAGTAGGCCACTATGAATCATGGTTTAAGTCAACCATTTTTCTCTGAATCATTTGCTCTAATTTCCTACCTTAATTATATAGTAGTAACATTCTATTATGATTTCAGTCTTTCAAGAATTTTATTATGCCCTGTACTTACGTTTCAATGTAACTTGAAGGAGTAAGCGCTGTGTTGTCAAGACGTTCCTGTAGAGCTGCCAGAACCTGTGGATTTTGCATCACTTGGTCTGCTAGCTTTTCTATGAAGACAGAAAACCACTTTTAAAACAAATCTGAATGTATTTATAGCTCTTTTGTCATACTGTATGTCTCACAGCAGTCATAGTAAAAATACTCACTATTTTCCAGATCTCAAATAGCACCGCTATAGTTAACTAATAATGCAAGCAAAATTACTTCAGGATCAGATTTCAGAAAGATAAAATTAGATAATGATAGAAAACGCACCTTTCTCTTTGCAAATAAATCAAATCTTTGCTTTTAGAAGCAAGTAGTACATTGATGACATAAGCAAATTTCCTGTCTTCCCTTTTATGTAAGAAAGCGCAAAATAGGAGTTTCTCTATCCTCCCTCTATATTAGCTGTAGCTTAAAAGACACATATAAATTTGCAAGAGAACCTCTGAATTATACTTCCAAAACATTTGTAAAAGTGTTCTGCAGTTATTCTGACTGCTGAAAAAAACTGATGAAAACTTTGTGTACTGTACCACAAACCAGCATAGCACTATAACCACTTCCTTGACAACTACTGATTTTTTACATCAAGATACTTTTACAATCTGTAAGACTCCTCAAACAGTCATCACAACAGTTCACAGAAGATTATTTTTATGGGAGATCAGACCTATAATGCTTCTGGTTAGGACTTAAAAATCCCTACTAATAACCACACAGGTGGTCATAGTGGGAAGACATTTGCTTTTCAAATCTTTCCATTCTTTCTCACTGCTCTTCTCCCCAGACATTAAAAAAAACCAATAAATTGCATAGCACACATTAACTTAATGAAGCCTTCATATAGGTGGGTTTGTGTGTTGTTTGTTTGTTTGGGGGTTTTTTGGTTGGTTTTTCTTAATCCAACTTGACTGTAAGAATTATTAAATGGTGTCTACCAGTTTATATGTGATTTCCAACTGCCGGTCACAAAGGCTTTCTTAAAAAAGTAGTAAGTGAGACATAAAGAACATTCAGTGACCACATATGTGAAACATATTTCACTATAACTTACAAATTTGAGCATTCAGGTTAATAACAATGGAACTGTAGCTTTTCCGCACACAGAAGTATTAATTTGAAAAGCATTATTCAGCAGTTATCTGTAGACCTTCCAAATGAAGAATAAAAACCTCAAGAGGACAATTATAAAAATGCATTTGCCTATAAACAAGACAGTAAAGAACTAGCATACATACAGGACTGCTCATTTTAATAGTTACACTGATAAAGAGTACATGTTGTTAAAAGCTAGTCTATACAGGCCTTATTGCAAGTGTCTAGTGGGTTATTTCATGCAATAGTGAAGCATCCTAGTCACAACATACGCAAAAATACTTTCACTGTTACAAAAATATAGACTTTATTTTGCTTTTGGCTGCAATAAGCACAGAAAACATTAGAAAGTGAACAGTTAGCCTAGAAACCATTGCTTTGCTTTCAATAGTGAACACATCTGTAGTTTTGACTGTAAAGGTTTTGGAACTGAAGATAAAGAAGCTTCAATGCAGAAGGCAATAGGCTTATTCCACCTTTGTAATGTTACCTACTACTATGTGTTTCTTACCTTTTTTGTCACTTGCATTTTTAGCGGCCTCCACAGAATCTGAAGCATTATCTTCTGTTTTACTAAAAGAATTAAAGATGTAACATATTAAAAAGGCATCACTTTATAAAAATGTTAGCATTTAACAACAAAAGCATTCTGAATTTTCAGTGTTTACTACAGGACAAGTTTTATAAACTAGTATCCCACTAAAAGACATATATTTATGTCTTCAAGCTTCTCGAAACTTAAGAGTAAAAGTTTGGATATGAAACTAGTTCTCCTAAGATGAATAGAATACAAAGAAAAGGGGAAAAAAAAATTAAAACCCCAAACCTCAAAACAAAACACAAAAACCCCGAAACAAAAAACACTGACAGATAAATTCATCTCATTAAGTGAATGGCTGGCCTTTCATCTGTACTGGGCCACTCTGGACAGGAAAATGTTATTATTCACAAGTGAAAAATACACGACACCCTTTTAGTGTAAATGATGAAGAAAAACATGAGAAAGGATACACCTAAGAAAGGAAGATAAACAAGAGATCAAAGCTCTTTGTTTTGAATTTCTGTATCAAGTTGTTTTGATTAATAGTAAAAACATTCGCTTCTGCTCTAAAAAGAGATGTCCCTGTCCTCCCCATCTCCCTGCCGCAATGTCTTCCATCACACTTCCTGTGCTGGAGAAAGAGGGCCCAGAATGAGTCAACAGCCAGAAAGCACTCCCTGTGTTCCCTGCCAGCTTATAGGTCGCAAAATACAGATTGGGTATTGCTGAAATTAACCCTAACTCAGATACAAAAGGAGAAAAGACATTACATATGCAAATGTGTATTATTAGTTACCAGATAGACTTGCTTATCCAGCTTACCCTGGTGCACCGCAAGCCTTGAAAGACCAGCATTGCATATGTATTTACACCAGTTTAGCAACACTGTTATTTGTTCTAAAAATGCTATAAAAACTAGAAAATAAAACAGTGCCTTTTGCAAGCTTAAATCATACAGATAAGAGAAACACTGAGGATCAGTGTTCTCTTCAAGTCTTCAGAGCATTTAAATATGAACACTGAAAACTGAACCAAGACAAATTATGTTAATCCCAGAACAGAGTAATTCTGTAATCAAAACACTACAATCTCAGCTTCTCCTGTACCAAATGAGCATTTTGTCCTTGCTGTAAGGAAACACAATCTAGTTAGAGAAAATATTACCATTTTATTCTTATCCCAAGTTCGGTAATCCATTCTTCATAAGTAAAAAAATACTCTCCCACAGAAGACCAGATTTCAAGAAAACAGTCCAACATACCTGTTATCGGCCATCTGTGTGCCTGTATCCACCTGCAAGTTGAAAAAACAGTGTTTAAACATACTTTAATGGTAATTTGTTTACCTCAACAGAAGATGAAAATAGAACAGGTCATTGTTTAAGACCTCAATATAAATTAACAGCTGCTGGTTTTGCTAAGAAATTTATCACGCATAATCTCTTGCAGTAAAGCGAGTAACTCCCATAATACCCAATCCAAACTGGAACTTGCTCATAGTTTTTAAAGTCTGTTAGACACTTTCATTCAACCCTTTTAAACTTATTTTTTTCTTTAAGTATTCTAGATGTTGATCCATTTCTACCAGATCATAAGTCTCCAGTCTGAAGACAAGTGCCACAGTTTGCTAGACTAGCTCTGCATTCTATTAAAAAAAAAAGAGGAAGATACAAATATATTATTTTCTAATTCCTTGACAGTATCACAGCAAATAATTTTTAATCTCTGCATATACTATATTATTATGCCTGATCTGAAAACAATGAAAGTTCAAATGAATTACAACTTCAGAATGACTTTTTTCTTATGTCACCTGAACAGAAAAATGCACCTCACTTGTCTGACTAATCAGGGCTATTTTTGTGAATAGCTGCTTCTGCTGCACTATACTGAATGACAACCTAAAACCGCTGCTAGATAAGGAGAAGCAAAACACTGAAGGAAAGAAAATAATTTACCAAGAGAAGGGTTTTTGATACAGCTACAAAGGCAGAATCCCCTATATAAAGATTTGCCCTGAATTTATTTATCGGGAGTGAGAAAACAAAGAGGAAACATAGAAGTTGATGTCTTGGTATTAGCAATGATTGGAACCAAGTTTAGCTACCCCAGCCCCCAAGATCTAAATTAGCTCTCCTGAGAAACCAGAGGGAGCCAGATTGCCTAACTTACTTTGCTGTTATTTTTTTACTGGGGCAAAATATCCAAGCCTGTACATCTATTTTAGTAATACAGGCTGGGGTTTTTTTCCCCCCATTCTAAATAGTTCATCACAAATCCAGGTAATCACTACAAACCATACAGAAGCATAAGTGATGTTTTCCACTATCAAGCTTTCAAGAAAGCAGATGTTAGACTGCAAGTCAAATTTAGAATAAAAAGAACCTTCCATCATTACTGGGAGTCAACAGGTCCGATTTCTTAGATTCTATAGAGGCCAAGCAGGCTGATCTTTAGCCGAGCTTCCAATACATGGCTACCAAAGAAGAACCTAAGTGCTAATGATACCTTGAGTGGCAGCCAGAGCAGAAATCACATACACTCTCCCATCTGGAAAATGCTGATTCCTGCTCTAAGCTAGAAAAGCAACACTTTAACAACCACTTAAATAGAGTTGAAAAGCTTTGTTCATTTACAAAAGTACTAAGAGTATACTTGAGATTATTATACAGGAAGTAAAGCTGCTTAACATCTACCAAAAAAGCACATGAGCCCACCCTATAGATTAAGTCCAGGACAAAACAAAAGGGGTTTCTTGTAGACTAGGTGTGTTTCAGCAACCCAGGCAAACTTATTTGCAAACACTTATTCTTGCCTTAAACATAACAAAAGAAAGTGGCAATGCCAGCAACCATCCGCTAGAGCAAAACGGAAGAATTTTACTATCTTACAGCTGAAGAAATAAAGGAGCATACACGAGTCTTTCCTTCTATAGCAGACAGAAGGCAGGAAAAAAAAGATACATTTAAAAAGGTAACACATAGCAAATTGACCTAATATCAGAGTTCAGCCAACAAGTTATATGATCCTAGTCACTATTAGAGGAAGCAATAGTAAGCAACTAAAAATGCAGACTCACATTACTTAAAAATTAGCCTCGAAGATTTGTCTCTTCCAACCTAAGCCCAGTGACAAAGCTAATGGAAAAAATCCACTCCACGTGCAAATTCTTCTGCTCAGTTTTTTGTGCTGTATTTCCTGCAGAGAACTATTCTCAACACTGCTGAGGGAAGACAAGATTCTCATCCCATCCTCATTTGTGTTTGGAAAACATGGAATAAAGTTCCCATAACTTGAATAATTTTTAAATAGCAGTTTAATTAATCTCCACTGGAACAGACATGAATTGGGCATGTTCTGACAAAAGCCATTCACCTAAGTAACAAGAAACAACAACAACAAAAAAGAAAAAAAAAAACCACCATTCCCTGGTGCAAATACATACTTTAAGTCTTGTTTCGCTCCTCTAAGTTGTTCCTTCGGTAACTAAAAAGTAAAAAGAAGTACATAAATAAATAATTAGAAGAAGCTTTCTTACAAAACAGCTTGTGATTCCCAGTTGCATTACAGTTGTCTTCCAATGACTTAACTGCCACTGAGTTACTAACAAAACTGTTCAGTAAAAGCTGGTGAGGGCAGGGGAGGAGAGAGCAAGGTGATTTTAGAGAAACAAAGTTAAATGAACACCTAGTTGAAAACATACAGTAGCAAAGCACTGAGCCTTCATATTTGTTGCCTTAGTTATTTTCCAAGCAAGTGAGCTCAGTTTACAGACAATCAAGACATGAAAAAGCTATCAGAACACCGAGAAAAGAATAGTGTAAGGTATTGTTATTGTCACTACCACCACCAATAAGAGGCCAAATTCATATCTTATTCTGGACAGTTCACTGTTTTCAAATAACTAATGCAGACCTGAAGCTTTAGGGAAAAACCACTTGTTCCACAAAGCAGGCTGCTGCAGTTTGTCTAGCACAAATGTCACACACCACTAGTCACTTAAAACAGCAGGAAACTGTAAACTCGATGCACACTAAGATAGCAAAAGTTCATTATAAGGACAAGTAATACCCTGAAGGATGCAACTTTAAAGGAAAAGTCTGTACATCTAATGGCAAGATATATTCATAAATACAAGTGTACACAGAATAAATTTTCTCTGCAAAAAAAGCCTATGTCTTGTTGTACAAACCTTCTAAACACAACTAGGACAAGAAGCAGGAAACTAATGGACTCCTGAACTCACAGGAAGGCTTCTACCCACAACTGTTACTGTTTTTCGTAACTACAACAAATCAGAAGGGAAAGTTACGACTTCCGTTTTAGAGCTGCTGGGATGCAACCCTGCGGGAAGCCACAAACATAACAGTCTGATACTTTTTGTAAGGAAAGTTAGAAGCAATAATGAAAAAATAGTCCAGAGGAAGAAACTCATTAACCTGTTCCACAAGCCCGGAACATTAGCAGTTCTTAAGCTTACCTTGGAAGTTTTCTTGAGGGAACACTATTTTGGTTAGAGATGACTTTATAAAAAATTTGCCTAGTGGTTCTGGTTTCACGTATAACTTACATACTTGCTTCTCTACCTTTTTATTTTGAAGTCTTCTAGGCAGATGTTACAGGAACAGAGTCAGACAAATCCTACAAGCGCTGGTATTGTATGCAGTAAACAATCGCAGCAGCAGCAAAAATTTTAAACAGGCCCTCACCTGGGAGACGGGGACCTCCAAGTCAAAAACTGAGCCCCCACAATCCCACACCACGCTGAGGGAACACAAGATCGTGGATGAGGCCAAGCGAAAGAACCGCGCCTGACCTAAGCTGCTAAGGGTTTGACTCAACGCGAGCACCGCGGGCTGAGAGACTGAGAAACTGTTCACCACAAACAACAGCCCTCCCACCCTCTTCCTCCCCCACTTCCCCCGGGAAGGCGGGGGAAGGGAGGGCTCGCTGCCAGGCGCCCCAGGGCGG